GAGGGTTCGGATCCCATGTGGAGACCAGTTCCCGCTCACTGGCTGAGCGTGGTGCAGGCGCTACACCAAGGGTTGCAATCCCGTTGCCGGTCCCCGGTAAGGGCACGACACCGAGGGTCGCAATCCCATTACCAGTCAGTAAAAAAGACAAAAAGAAAAAAAAAAAAAAAAGAAGGTACTCGGATTATTTAGAAAAACCCAATTACTTTGTTTACACTAAAATTATGATTTTTCACATGTCTTTGGCATTCGTCAGGTGGGAGGAGAAGCCAAGACACTTTTGGAAGCGTCATAATGAAAAGTGAATCATTTGACCCATCACTAAGATGCAGCTACCTCAGAGGTGTGAAGTGGCAGCTGATTAGCAGGTTCTTACAGCATATGCTATAGTTTAATTTGTGGAATATAAGACATGGATATATTTTAATAGAAACTTTTCAGAAACTTCCTCAGATCCACATTACAGCACATATAACAAGTATTTGGAGATAAGGGAGATGCAGTATCCCATCCTTTAGCTCCCCAGGAGGTGATGGGTAAGGGGAGGTCCCTGGGATATGGGTATGCACTTGTCTGCACATGCACTTCACTTAGCAGGCCTGACATACTTCTCTATTTCAGATGGAATATTTTTCTAAACTTTTAATATATGTCTTTGGAGATAGATTATCTTATCCATATGGAGTCTTCTGTGAGTTGCTTTTGGCTTCTTTCTGTTTCTTGTTCTTGTTTGTTCACTCCATACCTCTAGACATGAATTCATTTCCCCCCAGAAATATGAAACTAGGTCATATCTTGTGGTGAAATAGTTCTGTAGATTCCTGGGATTCTGAAAATAACAGCAATAAGATACCATTACAGCAATTTCAGCAAACATTTATTGAGAATGGAGAGTCTCCCTGTCACTATGTGAGTATCTCTTGTTTAGAAATGGGCTTATTTTTCTGTACTTTGATGTTCTATTGAGGCCACATGGTCCCATGGATTGCTGGGGGAAGGGAGATGGCTTGAATTTCTCCTTAAAGGGGAATCATCCCAGCGATAGTCTCAGGGAAGGGACAAGTCCTTAGAGCAAACAAGAACTGAGAAAAAGTATGGGCAAGATCCTGGTTAGAAGTGGAAAGATGGTTTCTGCCTCAGTTACCAACCAGGGAGTGTGCGTAACCCCTGAGTGTACCTCATGATTGGTTATAACATGTGTCTCAAATAACAACTCTTCATTCACTTTTAAAAGTCTATTTGATTTAAGGTTATTCTTCTATGGTACTAGGGAGAAAAAGGTGACGCTTCAGCTAACTGGGTAACAGTGTGTGACCCTATGTGTACTGCATGTGAGCATCGTCTATTATATGTTTGTCATGGCTTTTTTTTTTTAAAGGCTGCAAACTACTGCTCTAAGGGAACCCAAGGGAAAGATAAATAAGCTGTACATTATAGGTTATATTATCTAGTTGCAGGTTACTAAAAACTCATTTATAGTGTTGTGGGGAATCAAGGAGAGAAGAAAGGTTTGTTTCTTTTACTAGTGAGATCCCCAAGGGATGGTTTCCTTAGGGAAATCTCCCTCCACTGACAACTGTGCAGGATTGGAAATGATGGGAAATGGTGGTTTTCCTTAAAAAATCTACTTTGAGGGTCGGCCCAGTGGCGCACTGCTACAGTGTGCCGCTTGGGAGCGAGGTGGCGCTCCCGCCGAGGGTTCAGATCCCACATACAGACCGGCCG